CACTACACTGCATCAAGGCTTGATTCAAGGGGATTCCATCCCACCTTGGGACTGCACTTCTGCCTGTCTTTATGGTCACCATTAGATGTGAGAGCAACCAAAATAACCCAGACTGCTTTCTGCTAGGCAACTAGGTCTTCCCAGAAGAGCTGCTCGGCCCATGTGCTGTGGCCTCTCTGACACTCTTGACTCCAGTGGGACAGAAAGCAATTGAGCCAGCTGGTTGCCTTCTGTCTGCACCCTGTGTCCAGAGGCTAAATGTTCATTTGTTTAATGCCAGGCTTACTGTCTTGTTGAGCTGCATTACCACGAGAAAGTGTTGACTGAGCTTGGCTCCTCAGATGAACTACAACCTGTGACTCATTTGTTATGGGTCTAGAATCAGTTCCCAACATGTTAAGAAGAGCAACAAACAACTTCCTTGTTTTACAAAGTGCTAGCAGAAGAAAACTCGTTAATTTCCTAATTGCTCTCCCCTGCCCCAGCTTTAGACCAGCGTGTAGCTGCAGCTGCCAACCGAGCTCTGCAGTAAACTTGCACGTTAGTCCCCCCCTTGAACCATTGCGTTGGTGTCTGCTTTTATCAGAGCCTGTACCCTGTGCTTGTTCCTGAGCATGTAATTATGCCTTTGTCATCCGTATCTGGAATAGGCTGTTTATGTTGTAAACATTTAATGCACTGCTATAAAAAGCTGCCTGTATCCTTCCCTAACGCTGCTGCAGGAGCGGAGATGTTTATCTAGGAGCGCACCTACCTCGGTTCACCTGCAGCTCCAGTATGACCATCATTTTTAAGAACTCTTTAATTTACTCTTATTGCCTGATTAAATTTCAGTTCCCTCAAAGGAAATCTTACCCATTTGGCATATCTCAGAACTTTTTCTTTCCCTTTTTTTTTCTTTATAGGAAGCGAGATGTTTTTCTTGCACTGAATAATACATCTTGAATACTTTGATTTCTCACTTACCAGAAAAGCTGGTGTCTGCAAAGACGTTTGCACCTTGGCTCTGTGCAGAATGGGGTATAGGTTTAGCCCTGTGCTTGTTTCCTCTGGCTCTCAGGAGCACCCCCAACTCCTCGCTGCAGCCAGGACATAGTATTGACATCACCAACTGCTATGGCCACTTGCAGTGCCCTCAGGGCATTTGGCCTGTGCTCGCCGTACCTCACCCAGTCCACAATCACAGTCACCCTTTGAAGGAGGCCCCAGTGTCCCCATTTTACTGATTAGGAAGCTTAAGTCCTTGTGGTCCCCTACATGCCTAGGGCTGGAGTCAGGGGCAGCCTTGAGCCCCTGCCATCTGTTCCCTCAGCTAAACTGAAAACATGGCGTCCAACTTTCACCCGACGCAGAGACAATTGTCCCAGAGGGTTTCGATCCCATATTCGCAGGGTGCTTGTGGGGACCTCCTGGAGTGCTTTCTCTGCATGCCAGTCATGACACCCTTCCCTGGACCTCACTGTGTCTTCATCTCCTTTCCCATCGAAAGTCTGTTGGCTGCACCCATGCTGCTGGCATATGTGGGGCCAGTTACTGGAGGAGTGGGGTGAGGAATGTGTCACAGGTGGGGCCACTGCCAGCTTGGCCATGGACTGTCCAAGACCCACCCTCCACACCCATGTCACAACCGGCTAGTGCAGGATGAGTTCACTTTCTCCCAAATTGTCCTGGACCAATTTTGTATAATGCAGTATAAAGTGAATTACTAAAAAAAAAAAAGTTTTTTAAAGAATAGAAAATTCAATTCCAGATTTTGTTAAAAGATTCTGCTGCACATGTCAGGCTGCCAGCTTGTCCTCTCGGTGTCTGCTCCTGCCGTCTGCCAGAGTCTCCAGACCTCACTTGGAGTCGCCCTTCTAGACAAGGGACTGTGGAGAAGGTGCCCACTCCTGAGCCTTCCTTGTCTGCACCTCGAGCTGTGTCCTGGGCTCATCAGAATGAAATGAGCTCATCGCAGTGTCTACTGAGATTGTTTAAAGTATGCTAGATGTCTACCAGAGAGTTACTAATTTCTCATCCCTACTCCAATGCCTAGGAAAAAGTTAATACAGATTAAGTGATTGCCACCTAATTTACTCTCTTCTTCCTGACCTTTGAGAAACTAAGAATTATTACTAACAGGGGCTCCTAGCTTGTCTGTTGTGGACTCTTCTGGAAAACAGTGGGAGGCACTATTCAAACTCAGGGTGCTCATTGCTACCAGGCTTGAGTGTTCTTAGGTCTTTTCAGTAGACAGAGCTAGGAAATCAATATTTGGAGGAAAGAAAAAATGATGAGTTCAGACATTTCAAAATTTAAACATAAAATTACCCTCTTTCATTTGGTATTTTTTAAGCTTGCAAATTGTGGTTACTAATGTTAGTTACTCATCTGCTTTAAACTAAACGTATAAATGGTGGTTCAAAATAACTAATATTACTAATGCTCAGTAGGATTAGGGATATAAAGTGAAAGTGCTGTATTAATTTTGTGAAATAATTTTTCTTGCTTTATATGCTGTCAGATTGATTGGTTGTTCTTTTTTCTGTTTAGAACTTTAAATTCAGTTTTTAAAATGTAAAACACACAAATCTCAAAGTCATAAAATTATATAGCCAAGAACATTGGTAGACTGTCCATTTTCATTTCTTCCAACTCCAACCTCTTTACTATGAGGAACAATTACTTGCTTTGGGCTCAACTCTTCATTGTTTCCTTTTTAGTTTTTCCCTCCCTTTTTGTGCTGCTAGGAGTCAAATCTGTGCTGAACAGGTACCGTACTCTTCACTGAAGTACACACCCGGAATGTGTATGTTTAACACACACACCACAGAAGCCTGCCCTGCGCAGTGCTTCTCTCACTTGCCGCCACGTCCTGGTGGCCCCTTGCTGGCAGGGCACCACGTCTTCTCCATCCCACTGCACAGCTCTGCGGGTGTCTGCTGCCTTCGCACCGTGGTTTATTCCAGCAGCAGCTTTCGGTGGACACCTGGCTTGTTACTGTGACTGAGCTGTGCTCACCGTCACGAGTCCCAAGAGAAACGCTTTCAGAAATCCCAGTGTCGCACTGCTCCGCGCGCACTACCATGGCCAAGGGAAGGGCAGGTGACTACGGGCGCTGGTGAGGTGGTGGGCAGGTGAGAGCTGCGGTGCGTTGCTGGTGAGAATGCAGAGTGCTGCAGCCCTGTCATAAAACAGCCTAGCAGTTCCTTGGCATTAAGTACAGAGTTACTACCATTATGTGACCCAGCGGTTCATCCCCCAGGTCCGAGATGGCGAATGTATGGCACGCGTGCCCCAGCAAATATACAGAGCCCACTCTGCGATGATGTCGCGAATCGCATGAGTTGTTTTCTCTAAACTACAACCTTAATATTCAGGTTTAATTGCAGTGTTGGCATTCTGTGCTAAATATGTGGGGTTGGAGTTGCAATTTGGGCACTAGGTCTCGAAAAGGTTCGCCATCCCTGTCCTAGATACATAGCCCCTCCAAATAGAATACATGTAGCCATTCAAAAATACGTACATGAGGGCCAGGAATGTAGCTTAGTGATAGAGCATTTGCTTGGCATGCGCAAGGCCTTGTGTTCTGTCCCTAGCACTGAAACACACACACACACACACACACACACACACACACACGCATGCACACACGCATGCACACGCATGCGCGCATAGTCATAGCACTTATAATAGACAAAAGGTAGAAATCAAATGTCCATCAGTGGACATTTAAATATGATGCATCCATACAACAGACCGTTACTGGGTCCTACAAAGGGAAGAAATGCTGACATGCACACCGCCAGGATGGACCTGCAGACCAGGATGCCAAGTGAAGGAAGCCAGGTAGAAAAGGCCGCCTCCCACAGTTCCATTCGTGTGAAATGTCGAGGGTAGGAAAGTACAGAGATGCAAAGTAGATTAGCAGTTGCCAAGGGCTAAGGGGCGGTAGGGATGAGGAATGACCTCCAGGAGGTATTGGGGTTCTTTTAAAGTGCTGGAAACTTTCTGAAATTAGACTATGGTGCTCTCTACTAGTAAATGTCTAATATATTTACAACTTGGAATATACTAAATATATAGTATATTTGCTGTATGAGTACATTGGTATGGTATATACCCAAGTGTACAGTACAGGTATACTATACTGCAGCCCTGAATTTACTAAAATCTGCTGAATGAAGGAGTGAATTTTGTGGTATTAGAATTACATCTGAGTGGAGCTGTTATATGAAATTCAGTGGCACATTTTGCTGTGAGGTCCTGTGTACGGGATTCCCAGGGCAGAAGGTAAATGCTTTGTGGTTCTGCTGCGCACTGCCCGGTCCCTTCCGCGGGTGGCTGCAGCCTGGCCATGGGGAGCGTTCCACACAGGTTGTGCTCTCATTTGATGAAAGGTTTGGCGCAGTCTGGTGTCCACAGTCCCACGTTTCCTTCCTGTACCCTATCCGTCCCGGCGTCTCATCCCCTTTCCTTGGGCTTGTTGATGTTTCAATTTTTAAAGTTTTTTATGCATAGAAATATTAAACCTTTGCAGTATTTTACAAATCTGTGAAATTTGACAACTAACTTTTCCTGTTTTCATTTGCCTTTTAAAAAATACAGTCTCGCTTCAAAACCTTTCTTTCCCATTTGCTTCTAAATTTTGAATCATAATTGGGAATTTTTTTCTATTTCCAGCTTCGAAAAGGAATTCATTCATGTTCTTTTCTGGTACTGGCATTTGTTATCCTTTATATTTAGGCTCCAGTCATTTGGAGTTTATCCTGGTGAACAGTATTAGAAAGTTATCTACTCTTACCTTTTTTATAAGGCTTCTCACTTGCCCCAACATTTTTGAAGAGAGTGAAAGAAAACAAAGTATTGCTTTTTTTCATATATCTGTTTTTTCACTATTCCTGAGCTGCTGTAGATTTTTATGTGATTGTGCACACGGCATTGTGACATTGAGTGGGAAAGAGGAGTGAGTCGCTGTCCCCTCCGGCGATGACCAGGCTGTCCATCTTCTGTCTCCACAGGTGAACGAGCTGGATGGCATTCCGCTGATCCTGGACAGCTGCAGCATCGATGATAGTAACCCCTGTATCCTTGCACATAGCCCAAGGGCCCCTTTCCTGGTGTTCATCTGTGTGGGGCCAGCTGGCTTGCTTGGTGCTTGTTTTGAAGGCGATCCAGTGCTGGGTGGCACTCTTGTGACCTTTGAGGTTCAGTGAGCTGAATTTTTCATGGTGACTAGGACATTGCCTACCAGCATGTCACTGAAAAACTCTGGGGCAGTCAGCTCTTCCGAGGCCCCTGTGCTACTTGTCACTAGTCTCATCTGCCCCAAGTGTATATGTGGTCCACAGTGTAAACATGACGTGTTTTACATATTTTTGCAATAGAAACTTTTGAGTAATGAGTCAGTTGGAAAATAGCAGTTTGACAACGCAGAACATGAGGTGCTGTCTGTCCTAGAGGAAGGAGAAACATGCCAGACTCCCTCAGGCCTCCTTTTCGCAGGGCTCTGTCCCCAGCCCTCTGCTGAGGAAGCTGGAAGTCTAACTCTTGCCCTTCCTCAGCTGGCCACCCGCCCCCAGAGGATCTTCTGCAGAATCTTGCTTATTTTCCTCACTTTACCTCAGAGTTGTGCGTTCAGAACTAACCCAGTGTAGTGGACAGTACCCAGGGGACAGGTACAGCTGCTTAGGTTTGGGGTGAAATCTACCTTTTAACCCTACGAACTTTCCCGGTGAGAACCAGCCTCAGCCCCAACCCTTTTCTCCTATGGCCTTGTGCTTTGGCATGCAGGGCAGTGGTGACCAGGCCATTGTACAGGTAGGTGATGTCCCTGTGGGGAGCCCTGCTAGGACAGAGGAGACCAAGGGGAAGGGGCTTGTATCAACAAAACTCCCTTCCCCATGACCTCTGCCAAGGATGGAAAAGGACCTGGTGAGAATCAAGTGTTTCAAAGTAAGTCAACTAAGAAATGCGTATTATTTGTGCTAAAGACACTGTCATTTGTCTAATTGGCAGCGGGAAAGAATCTTACCTGAAAGAGCACAGTAACTCATGAGATCGGACAGGGAAGAGCAAATCCTCAGCCTTAGAAGCCCCTGCTTCAGGGTAAACAAAGCTGGCACCTGTGCTGCATTGTTATCCACTCCTTGCTACTGCTCATTAGAGGGGTTGGACAGTTCTTAGCCCAGAAAAAAGAAATAAACACGAGAGGAAAGCAATGCAAGTATGTTCGAGTGTGGTTGCAGATGTTCCATTTTCCAGTGGAAAAGGTGATTTCTTAGGAAAAAGAAATTAACCCACAGTTTACTTTTATGTTTCCTGAATTGGCCTTCTAGAGACGAGGGTTCTAGCAGTTAGCCTTTGGCTTCTAGAAAAGAGCAGAGGATAGTAAACAGGCCCTCACCCAGAGGCACAGGGCGGATATGCCCACCTGCTGGGAGCCGCACACGTGACCTCTTGTTGTCGTCCCCACCCCCTGCTCACACGTTCAGTTGCTTCTCCCTCCCCTATACTAGGTTAAACCCAGGGCCTGAGCCCTAAGCCACATCCCCTTTTTAAGCTTTTGATCCCCCCTTTTTGCTAAGTCACTAAGCATAAACTTTCGATCCTCTTGCCACAATCTCCACAAAGCTGGGATCACAGGCACACTCACTCCAGCCCGGCTTCTCACTCACTCATCATGAAACATTCAGTCCTCATTAGAAGGACACACATGACTTAATTGTGACAGCGCCATAAAGCAGGCCCCATCGGTCATACCCCTTCTGCAGAAGAGGAAATCACCTGGGACTTGCAGTGTCTCGTCCTGTAGCTCATCCAGGGAGAAAGCTGTGAGTGCCTGGTTCCTGGTCACCTTCCTGTACCTCCTCGGAAATCACGGGGGAGAACGAACAGTACAGGGAGCCACACAGGTGCGCAGTGAGCAGTGATTCAGTGGGAAATGAGGTGCGCTTGTCCACAGAGACAGGTGCTTTGGCAATGAGTGGTGCATTGCAGGATCCCCGAGTCTGCTCTGAATGACTGAGAAAAGATAAAATATTACAGTAATTATGCTTGGTGTTGTGTATATGTAGTAATTCGTTGGGGTTTTACCTGTTGAGCCCACTAGATTTTCAAGTCCTGTGAAGTATGTATAGTAAGAGGCATCATCCAGAAATACCAGAACAGGGAGGGGGCAGCGGGGAGAACTGCGTGGCCAGGAATGAGAAGGCTTAGCCACCTGCAGGGTCGGGAGTGGTGGACTGAAATCTGGCCCTTCTAGTACTGGAGCGAATGGAGACAGAATCCAGACGGATGTTCGGAAGCCACCTCCTTTAGCCGCACCCATCCAGGTGTTTGTTCTGCTCAGAAGAAGCCTTTTCTAAGAATCAGCTTCTGACCCTGGCTGTGCCCGTCACTTCCCATTCCATTGTTTTTTCTTTCTTTATGAAAAGTAATACCTCTGTAGGCCAGGCATGGTGGCGCACACCTGTAACCCCAGTCCTCAGGAGGATCGCTGTGAGTTTGAGGCCAGCCTGGACTGCGTAGCAAGTTCATGGTCACCATGAACTACGTAGTGAAACCTTGTCTCAGACAGAGAGGGGAAAGAGGGGCGGAGGGAGGGGAAGGGGGGCATCTGGATCACTTTCTTCAATTGCTGAAAGGTGTTTAATGAGAGAACAGCATCTCTGGCCCTCTGCACTCTTTAGCTCACTCCCTTCCCAGCTTCTTCCAGCTGTTGCTTCTGTGTGTCTCACTGATGTGCTCACCTGCCATTTTTGACACAGCCGCTTTTGAGGTCTCTCCTTATGTCACCACGAGCGTCAAGCCCTTCCTGCTGTCCTCCCTCTTGTGCTCCACTGCAGTGGCAGCTGCACACCCCGTTTCCTCTCCACACATCACTGGCGAGACCAGCACTGTTTGCTGCACGCATTGTGTATGTCTGTACCTGGTCCCTACTGCCTACTTGATCCTGCCTCTCTCTGTTGGGTTCTCGGTTTTTATTTGTCACCTGTCTTTATGTATTCTCCATCGAAGTTCTTTGTCTGCTGCATGTGTTGCTTACATTTTCTTTCTCCATCTTATAATCCTCTATTTTGAATAACATTAGTTCTTGACTTGTAGTCAAATTGGATTCGTGGTCAAATTTATCACTTTTCTTTATGGTTAGTTCTCATTTTTTTCAATGTAATCTTGTTTGGGAAATATTTCCCTATCTTAAGGTCAAGATGATAATCTGTATCTGAATACTTTATACTTTTACTTTCTGTACGTGTGTTTGTAATTCCTTTGAAGTTGATTTTGTATGTAGAATGACCTGGAGGTCTGTTTCTATTCTTTCTACACGGGGTGACAGAAGAAATGTGCCTGCCTTGGTTATTCAAAAACATTTTTGTGCCATGTGGTACCAATGTTTAGGTCTGTTTGGGGACTCTTCTTTTCCAGGGATCTATTTATCTAAGCCTGAATCAGTGCCACAGTTTTGATTACCATGGATTTCCAACCTTTCTTCATATAGCCACACAAGTCCTTCTAGTTTTTCTCATCTTTAAGAATTATGGGTTTTGTTTTTTTTTCCTTTCTTCTTTTGGAGACAGGGTCTTGCTATGTAGTTCAGGCTGACCTAAACTCACTACGTAGCTCAGGCTAGACTAGAACTCACAGCAGTCCTCCTGCCTCAGCCTCCCAAATACTGGGATTACAGGAGTGTTCCACCACACCCAGCAATTTGCATATGTTTTTAAATTGGCTCATCAGATTCTACACATTCACACTTGTGCACACACACACACACACACACACACACACAGAATCACTATCAACAAAAAAAATCCCTTAAAATCCCCAAACTGACTTATTCACTGAAATTGCACTGCCTAAAATGAATTTGGTGAGACTGGTATGAAGTACTGAATCTTTGAACCCATTAACTTGTTATATTCATCCACTTTAGAGTTATTGATTTTCACCTTTCATCTTTCCCTTGTGCTTCTTTAGCTCCATTGCATGGGTTTTGATATGCATTATTATGCTGCCTTTCATTTTAAAGAGTTGTCTAATTTGTTATGGTTTTTGGCCTATGGATTATTGAAAAAGAAGTTTCTTGATTCCTAAACGAATGAGAATTTGCCTCTTTTTGGAGGTTTACTTTTAGCATAGATGCATTACGCTCAACACACACACTCTTAATATCCTCTATTGTGCAAACATATTGAGACTTGCTTTGTGACTGGTGTAGGTAAGTGTTTGCAACTTTTCTGTACCTACTTCAAAAGCATTTCCCTAGTAGCCTGGAGCAGTGATATATACATTTATTAATCTTGTAAATGGTCATAATGAAAACATTTGTGTGCTTACTGAGGTTTTTCTCCTGCTTTCTCAATTACAGAGGTTCTTTAAAATTTCTGCCTGATTGTAGATGTGTCTTCTCTTTTGAGTTATATAATTTTCCTTTACATGCTTGAGGCAGTTACTTTTAGTAAAGGTGTGAGATAGTCCCAGTTGTCATTAGAATGCATTCTCTCTAAAAAAATGCATCTTTGCCTAATATTAATAGAGCTTCATAACTTGCCTTGGGATAGATTTACATATTATAACTTTTTCAATTCTTTTATTTTTAGCCTTTCTGTATGAGATAAGTTTTGTGGGAAGAACATATAGCTGTTTTTTCTTTTTTCTTTTTTTCCCCCCCAGCTTTAATTGAGTTTATTGGTACATTTTAGGGATACAGTACAGTTACATTCATTGTTGGGATCTTGTACCTCTACATGACAAGTCTTGGTTCTCATTTTTTCCCCTTGTCCCTGCATAGCTGTTTTTTCTTAATCTGACAGTCTTTGCATTTTAACTATTGCATTTAGTCCATTTACATTTAATGTAATTATTGATATATTTATGCTTAAAGCCTCTTTAGATGTTCTCCCTAAATTTTCCAATTCTGGGTGTGTTTTTGCTTTTCTAGCCTAGAAACTTTGTTTTCTTTTTTCTGTTTGATTAATGATTCCATGAGAAATTATAAAATTCATCCTTGACTAAGCAAAGTCTTATACTTCTTAGGTATTTACTCTTCTTCCCAGACCACTTAATACCCCTCAATTGAGATG